TGTGTATAAGAGACAGATATATATATATATATAGCCATGATTTCTATTTGGCTATCTGCCTCTCCATGTACTGTATACCGAATTTTCATAATTAAATAAATATATAAAAAATAAATATATACCGTACTTTGGTGGATGAATTTTAAAATGAAAGGTGTGGACAGTAGGTTTGTATCTATTACAATGAAAGGACTGATGCTGGTAGGTGTGTAGACTAGGAATTTCCCCTCAATAAAGCCATATTTGTAAACGTATAAACATTCTGCAATATGGCTTTAAATCTTTTTAATATCTCTTTTTAAAATTATTCTTCTATATACCATTCCCGAGCACGTGACATCCCATAGTCAAGGTCGCGTTTATTGTCTTGACAATAACAATTACCGTGCCATAAATATATTATTCGGCAAGTGTTTTTCATAAAAGAAAAAAAAATGTAAAAATTAAACGAGTGGAAGTAAAATATAACAAACCATTGTATTAGGTTAATCTTTCTTCCAAATATTTTAGCTCGTATAGAAAAAATGTAAAGGCATAGACACGATACACAGAAACTTTTGTTTGTTAAACTGCGCATGACAGAACCCCAGACAACGTATTCTTCTAATTACCGATGAGCATATAATAATATCTACTTGACCCATATCAACAAAAAAAAAATAATTGTAGCATTTTGAATGCTTAATTTGATTGACAGCTACTGACCTTCACGTATGAATCAAAATTCTTGTTGATACGGAAGTACTCACCTTCACACAATACCTATTCATCATAAATAAGGTTATAAAAGAAACTAAAAAAAAAAAAAACGAAACACCAATCAATAAATGGAAAAGTTTGTAACAGGCTTTGACAAATTACTAAGCAAATTTTACGTGACTTAATAATGGATACAACACTATGAGTGTTTTTATCTACGACCCATTTAATATTATTATTTAGATTATGATAAAGGCATAGGCCTATATATATATATACGGTCCATCAATTAATTATTATTGCACTGTAGGCCTATTCAGAGCACCATAATACTTTTTGAAATTTCAAAAGACAAGTTGTCAGTTTAAACCTATTTGAATGTCACGCTTTTTAATATTGTAAGTTGCAGCATTACCAACCACAGCACTGTCACATAAATTGTGGCAGGCCC